ATTCTAATATAACTCACTTGTTACTACAAAAATTTTTTCTAGTAAATTAGATATAACCTAACTTAACAACATACTATATGCCATCGCAATTGTCTTACGTTTTGTAGTAAAATTTTTTATAGCAACTCATAATAGAAGCCATAATAATTCTAATACAAACTAACTCAACAATATACTGTATATCATCATATTAGTATATAAATTCTGCGGCAAGAATTTTCACAACACAAATTGATTTAACAAAATACTATATATCAATCGCAATATCTATTATGATAGAAATCATGATAATTCTAATACAGTCAACCCTCTCTATGGTCACCTCCTATATAAGCCCATTTTCTTTGTAAGCTTATTCTCTATAATCACGCTTTTTCGTATCCCGTGGGTGTGACTATATAGAGGTTTGACTGTACAAACTAATATAATCTTAACCGCGTACAGTGTGTTATATAATTACAGGTATGTTTATAATAGACTGCTCTAAAAATTACATTTATTAAATACAGTATCTAATATCCTAATGTTTACGGCTTAAGCTAAATCCGGAAATGCAAATCATAAGTCTCATGATACTGTCCGCTTTTTTGCATTCTGATTTGCCAATTTCAGGTACTCATGATCTGGATCATTCCCGTTAGTCCCCTTTAAGTAAAGTTGTTTTCGGATTATCCTAAAATAAAAAAGATTTGCTTTGGAGATGTCCTAAAATTTAAGGATTGACTACAACGTAGTTTATTATATTCGTGATTAAATTGGTAACAGTAAAGCAAGTTATTTTATATTTCAGTGGTGATGATAGAATAATTATGGTTGGTCATTAAATATAAAGAAGAAATCGGAGTTAAAAGAATGAACACAAAGTGTTTGAATTTATCAAAAATCTGATAGTAGTTTAATTTTTAACAAAGATAATACTATAATTTCCACTAATATCGATACGAGAAATTATAAATAAGTATTCACATATATTAAATTATAAAATTGATTTAGAATCAAAAGGTGGACTATGATCAATAAAAATTTTATAGACTTGGACAAATATGGACATGGACTAATCCATGTCCATATCTTTGCGGAATATTTCGGACATTTATCCTAATTTGGCCATCCGGAATATTTAGGAATAGCAAGCTCACATGCTTGATTTGGACTAAGCGCTTTATGTCCAATAGAAAAATGCATGGACAATATGGCCATAGTCCATAAATGTCTATGTCAACATTACTACGTACTGTATGAAAAACCAGTATTGTATTTGGGAATATATTATATTAAATTAGTAAATCGATATACGTAGTTATTAGGGATGGCACATGATTTATATCACGTTATAAATCACTGATTTTTTATTTAAATCAATTTAAAGTTGATTTAAATCTTTTATTACGTCATGTATTTAGAAGATATAACTATATTTTTTTAAATCGCAATGGCAACGTTTTTTAAAAAATTGAGATCGGTGTTTAAATTAAATATAATGTATCACGTAATAAAAATCAAATGCTTTATCATAAAAATCGATTTAAATCATGATAACACTTGATAAAACTATCCACGTGATAGGTTGATACCCGGTTATATTTTTTGAAGCTTAGACTAAACCGTGAAAATAAAACTTTATATACATATGATAAAATAATAAACTAAGAACTAAAAATTTATTGTGCATTGTTTTTATATTTTAATTATAATATTAGAATTTTAACATAGTTATATAATTTTTAAAGCTAATTATTATTATCGTTTCCAATCAATATTTCCTCAAATATTTCCACGATCTTTGCTTTACTGCTAGCGAGTTAAAATTAAATCCTTATAATATACAAAGTATAATTTCGATATCGTATTTTATTTCTTCATTTTGAAAATTATTGCCAGTCAATTGACAATGCGAACAAGTCACTTGTTCTTGCTTTGATGTGATCATTTAAAATCCTAAATCGGTTTAAGCGAAATAATCGGCGATCATTGATTATTTTTTCACAACAGTTATCTCGATTTAGGGTTTGAAATGAAATAATATCTGAAAAATCATTCAATATCGATATTGCTGCAAACATTTGAATCGGTAGACTATGGAGAAGTGACGTATCAGAGATCAATGGAAATAGATTCGGTTATCGTTGGCAACTGCTTACAGTATTCCAAAAAATAATACCCTCATGATTAAGATTCGAATATTATTTACTGTCCTTACCGATTATTTCTTGAATAAGATTCGGGAATATAACTACTAGGGATGGCAGAAATCATGATAATTCTCGGACCTCTAAGTTAGATTAAAAACGTATAATGATAATAATAAATATATAGAAACTAGGAAAACGGTATCCATTAGGTTCCAGAGCGCCGCTTCATTCAGAACTTCACAACTTAGAAAAGGCGCTATACTAACAATGTTACATTATAAAACCATCTGTTTCCAATTGTACCATCGTTGGGTATGATAATGAAGAAACAATACGTACTACTTTGTTTACAGAAAACGATGTTGGCATATGAACGAAAAAAGTTGAATTTAAACAACGATATGTCATATATTACCGTGTGACAATAAATCTTATCCTACACCCGGAACCCACCTTGCCTAGTGTCTGGACTTATTCCTCCGCTTTGCTCCAGAACTTATTCTGATAATCATACATTGATTCCTATCTACTTAAATAACATCGATTTTTATTAGCAATAGTAACTTAACTACAAACGGATAGTATCCTTATCAAAATTACCGATAGTAACGATGAACGCAAATTTCTCCAATATCCCACATGTGATCCGTGCGTGATACGCGGGATAGAGATGAGTTTCCATAAGTTTTCTTTGAATAATACGGGGATGTAAAATTTTTTTAAATTTTGTAAGATAGTTTAAGAATTAATATTATCACCTAATTATTAAAATCACCCTCCTGAATAAAGTTCTGGGCTGTATGTTATGTTATAAGTGTGAACTCTATATAGAATTATGGACTTCATTTATTGGTGATCTTTTGGCCAAAATTATGTTAATACGGGCCGGCTGGTTGGATTATACTGTACCAACAATCCCGTGCGGGTCCCATCACTAACTGACAATATACACTATAAGGGTTGGAAATCAAATCTGCCGCATGAGGTATAATTCTGTCTCATTGTAAAAGAAGAAGTCGTGACTAAGAGTGTTCTCGAACAACTAAATTAATAGGTTGGAACTCAATTTTTCGCAGCGAAAAAAAAAAGACGGCAGAGACCATTGTTAGTTAAATTTAATATCCGCATTTCGCACTACTAATTTTCAGTAAAATTGCTATAAAAAAATATATTTATTCCCCGGTTCTTATTTATACTTCTATACTATTCCTTCTCGGTTATTGTCCAGATTTCGGATTCGGACTGATCCGGAATTTTTATAATTCTTTTTGATAATATATCTTTACTTTTTTTTAATGATATATGAAATTTTTTAAACTTTTTTAAACTATTAGAGTAACAATATGTAAAAGTTGCTGGCTAAAAAAAAAAAAAAAAAAAACGAAAGAGGTTTTGTGACCTGTAGTAAGCTAAACTTTATGAAATACGCAATTTTACTTTGAAGAAATAGTATAGAAGTATAATAGAACCTGGGAATAAATCAGTTATTATCCACGTAGTGGACAATAACATATACATATTCGCGATCAGATGATTGTGACCAAACCAACAATTAAACTTTATCATTATTAATAATAGTGAATATATCTATCATAAATTTTGTATGTATTCCCGGGTTGCATTATGAAACGATCGGAAATCAGCTGAACACGATTTTTTTTTTCTTTTGCCTTAACGTTAAGGACAATCATAGTGATCTCTATCACTAGCAAATCACATGGAGAAAGATGTTCGAGAACACCCTAACACCAACTAAATTGCTGTTTGAGATTCTTAAATAATTTGACCACGATAATAACATCATTTTTCAAATAAATAAAGCTTTAAAATTAAGTACTTTGAGAATTTCGTTGACTCTGATTATGTGGGACATAACATAAAGGTATAATCTCTGAGATCTGTATTCTTAGCTAAAAAGAAAAAATTCAAATGCGCATATTTCTTTAATTATGTTAATTGCATCTATCTAATACAATACTGTACGCACGTACGTATGTCGCATATTATGCTAATTAATAGATCATCGCCGATGTGGAATATCAAGGCGAGTATATGGTAAGCAATCATGTGAACTTGAGAAATTATGTTATTTAGCCAAGATTTTGTCAGATTGATTTGCTAATTCTAAAATACGGAAATACTCAAAATAAAAAGAATCATTATATTCATTGTATTTAATAGAATATTAATTGGCTATACTGTGTTGTACAGTATAATGGAGTGAATGCCCTTAAAATATATATATATATATATATTTATTTATTTAATATGTAAATTATATGGTTTAAGGGGTTAAATATTTATGAATATAAATTATTTAGATTCAATCAAATTATAGACAAGATTAAAGTTCTTCATACACGTGGTATTAAAATGGTAAAGAAGCTAAAACAGAAAGGATTGCTATTTGATGACGTTTTGTTAACTATATGAGAAATCATAAATTGGATCTGTTTATTAAAGTTAACATAATTAGTACATTGGATTTCCATAATTTGTTTGATTGACACGATTATATGGTTAGTCGCGAAGGTACTATCGCCAAATCGTTTGTTGTATTAAATGAAATTAAGTGGATCAAATACCGAGATTTTTGTTATAAAATATTAGTGCGAAAGTGAAAGTAAAATAGATGGTTCTTGATTTTTTTTTTTTTTTTTTTCGTCTCACTCATTTTTGTCTCTCTTTTTTTCTTTCTTTTTTATTCTTTAAAGAGAGTCAGGAATTCTCAATAACTTGTAGATAAAAATTTTTAACACAAGCAATAGAAGAAATAGAAGCAATAGTGTACATAGATTGTATAGCTTGAATAAAATAAATAGGCCTCAATCACAGAATTAATAATAAAAATTAGTATAAATTATTATTATGAGATTGAAAATATGGAACTTATTTGTTGTAGCGGCATGTATAATCGTACTAGGAACACATGATGTTGACAGTTTGTTCGATAATATTTGTACATCTAGTAAGTGATAAGACTTTGAAAGTCATGAATGCTAACTGTTTAAAAACAATGTACTAAAATTCATTCTTTACGATACAGCCGGTGTTGATAGTATAGCATCGCTCAAAAATATAAGAAATGATGGAATAAGTCTTGAAATTCGAGACTTTGATCCAACAGGATATATAATATTTAAAGTTGACGCAGGGGATGAACAAATTATAAATATTGCTTTGTGGGGAGAAGTGATGATGGCTAAAGGTGAACTGCATGTTGGAACTTTAGAACCAATTGTTGGTCACGCATATGTTCATGGTTGTGATGGATATCCTCAATCAACGATTACCAATTATTATGAATTTGAAAACAGTAAGTTGAATTATTTTTTAACTTTACATTTTATCCTCAACCGCCATTTCACAGATAACATAAAATAGGTTATTTAGTTGTTTACAATCGAAATAACCTATTTTATGGTTGATAAAATGAAATGGCTGTTGGTGAGTACCTAAATTCTGAATTTTAGGAATCGTTATGAAAGAAAGGCAAAAGTTCCTAATTAACATATTTGCGTAATGACTGTTTTTGTTGTAGAATCACAAATAACATATGAATGGATTGCGCCAAATACGACAACAATTTCCAAGAAAGATACTCAAAATCAATCGAAAAGAGGACTATCACATAAGCAATCTCATAAATGCTCTACCCCAAACCATCATCATCACCATCATGGTAAAGGATGTAAAGAATGTAAAGAATGTTCCCTAAAACATCATAAACACTGTATTTCAGATCATGACCATAAAAAACACAACCATCACAATCATAAAAAACATAACCATAATAATCATAAACATAACCATCATAAACATAAAAAACACAACCATCATAATCATCACGGTCATAAAACTCATCACAAATCACATGATACTGGCAGGAAAAAAGCGTCAAAACAAACGGGTGATAAAAGTCGTCATGAAGTCACACAGTCTAAAAGCGATACGAATACATCATTACCATATTCTGTAGAAGACAGTGGTGTAAACCCATCGAATTTCAGTGGTAGTTTACCATCAACTCCGTTCTATTTTAAAGGTATTGCGATCTTTGCAAGTAATCCGACCCAGGCTATTGTTTTTTCTTCAGACACGATGTATATTAATGGGAATATTCCGGTGGATTATGATTCGTCGGATTTCGACACCCCTAATAATGACAATAATCCTGTATCTAGTTCTGCTGCTTCTTTTAATAATTTTAAAATTTTTGATATTAATTTAGCATTACTTGTATTACTCACGGGGTTTTCTTCAATAATTCTGTTTTGAAAAAAAAAATAAATTGCTTTTTGCCAAAAATTTCTTAATCCTAATAAATAGTAAGGTATATAATGTATGTACTTTGTATATATAATCCAAAAAAGTGATATTAGTACAATTTTATTCACATGGTTTTTTTTTTTTTGGAGGTCAGATCTTAAAAACCACCTAATTTCCCAAAAAGCATAAATACAGTTAACATCAACCTAAACTATAAAATGAGTTTCTATATACGTATTAAGATTATATTAAATTCTCTCATATGTATCAACTTTAATATGATCTCTCACTAATATCATTATCAACATGAATTTAGAAGTGATACAAATGGGTTGAATTAACGAGGGTCAATTTTTAGATGCTTATCCAAATCTCAAAGATTAAAACCGGCTTTATTTTTCGTATGTTAAACCTGGTTTTAACATATCAATGAGAAATAAAATCGGTTCCAAACTCTACACCAGATCCCTAACTTAGGGCGGACAAATTCAAATGGTCTGTCCAAATTCATACAGGTATAAGTAATACCATGGATGGTAAATGACCTTCAAATGACCTCAAATGACCCCAATTTTATTACCTAGGTCATTTGAAAAAAAGGCAAATGACCTCCAATTTTACCATCCCTGATAAGTAACCACATACAATATCATCAGATTTTTCGCAAGATGAATCCGACAAATAATAAATAATAAGCTTGAAACTGATAACTCATCAGTATTCAAATGATCTCTAAGTAAATAAGTTAACTTTTTTTTATTCAATTTATTTTTTTTATCTCCAATTAAACTATTCTATATTGTTTCATGTTACTGTACTTATCATTTTATCTGCCATTATCTTCATTATTGCGGTTTGCATATTTTTGTGACCCATATGATTGATTTTTTTTTATGATTAAATGATTGTGATTGCGATCGCGATTGCTGAATCTGAGTTTGTGTCAAGCTCAGATTTATGATAAATTGGCATCATTATACGATACTATATAGTTATTGGATGCGAAGCAGCCAATAACGAGAATTATTTGTAAAATAATTCATTATCTGGCTGTGAATTTGA